GCTGCAGGTTCCCCACCCCTGGTTAAGAAAATGATGGAGTAAATATTAATAATGCAGATTAAATTTATGGTATGTGGTGGGTATATATACATATATATATACACACATATTTATATATACATAAAAATTTCTATAAATGCACATATAGAAATTATACACACTTTTTTTTCTTTTGGAGATCTGGTTGTTAAACACTTATCAACATACTACTGCTAAAGCACTTTGTAAAACTTAAAATACTATATAAATACTGGCTGTTATTATTTTATTATTATTAAAATTATATTAAAACTCTTTATATACTGTTCTTTTATCTCATCCTAGGTAGGTGCCAAGATTATCTGACTAGGTTGAAGAGTGTCTAGCTTCTGTGGAGTGCTAGTAAGAAATATTAAAGCCCCAAGGCAACGAAAGTAATATGCTTTGATGTGCACTGAAATATGACCTGATCTATTAATTAGATTATTTATTGGCTCACTACTAGTAATGAATCTGGGACAATTAGCATGGCCCATAACATACATACCAATAAAGGCTGTTTAACATTCATTTCTCAATAAGCTGTATATGAATGTTGGGGAAAAATAAACAGCACAGTTGTGCTTCTTACCAAAACCAATGGAGATATGAGCTTAAAAAAAAAAAACCAAACCAAACCAAACAACTATTCAATAGCATGTAATGCATAAAGTAAGGTTATCTCTGTTACTTGGCACGGGTTGGTTCAAGATGGCTCAGATAATGCTTTTGGTAAGTGATGGTTTTCCTAAGATCCTTCCAGAAGGATGCTTAAAGTCAAACCTGACTCAGGGGGTAAGGTGCCTGGCTACTGAAATAATCTGAAGGAAATTAATGCTAACTGTGGAGAAGGGTATTTGGATTAGCCAACTTGTTGGCTGAAGTTTTTAACTTAAATGTCATGAAACAGAACCTTGACATCATCTAAAATAGTCTCTGTCCTCTATGGAAAGAAGCAAATTGAATGTGGTAAGATTTGCAAAGATATAGGATAAATGGGTGTTGTGATGTAGAGTTTTTGTACCATTTGTTAATGTGGGATTGGTTGAGGGGCTGTTGGGTAGTCAGGAACACATCCTGGAGGCCTCATCATCACTAAGCTAATTTTCTAGCCCTAGAGCTCAATAGTATATGGTTTTGGACTTTTTTTTTTTTTAAAGAATCTGTTCTTTTTCCCTTTGATTTTAACTTCTGGGTTTACTACCTTCCAAATAGAATAAAGTCAAGGAGGTGATTGTGAAAGGGAAGGCAAGAAAAGGAAACCTCATGGATGATTTGCCCCTATACTGGGAAATAGGAAACCAGATGTTATGTACAGATATCTAGTTGAAGCACTACCAAAAAGCACTGTGGAGTCACTTGATGGAAAAAGCAAGTTTTTATTATGATTTCTGGCCATGATTTGGCATAGCTGTAAATGACTACCATTTACTGCCAATTCTGTACAAACGTGTGGGGTGATATTACTGGGACGGCGAATTAAAACAAAAGGTAAAAGTTAAACATTTCCACACGAGATTTTACAGTCCACCGTTGCACTGAGTGGGTGAAAAAGACACGTTTTACTACAGAATTATTCTTTCTTTACTATAGAATTATTCAGCATGGATAAAAAACTACAACTTTTACATATTTTTTAAACAGGAGTCACTGGTTTTAATTATTTTTACACATTTTAAAATTACTGTGATAAAAAATAATGAAAAAGCTTTTTAATAATGCCATACACAGTATAATATAGATCTGTCCCCATTACATAAGCTTTTGTTTAATATACAAAATAGAATATCGACACACTTAAATCTATATGTAGTTAAGCAAGGTAAAATACCTAAGAGGGCTATTTTCATACACACAGCCTTTCATCAGAAAGCAAAATCCTTCTCTGAAAGAGACTATTCCTTTCCTAAAAATGAGGCTCTTGTCTCAGCACATTGATAGCCACTGATGTACCAAGACCTGGAATACATGACTGGTTTCGGATGACAGTTGTGCCATTTAAAATACTGTTTAAACGCATTCTTCTTGTATTCTCTCCCTCCCCTCCTGTCCCTGTGCTGGAAACAGGCTGATTCGAAACACACATGATCGATGACCTTTTTGTGTGACTCACAAGATCACATCCCTTTATCAAAGCAAAGGGACCCACTGATGCTAGTGTTTACTGTCTATGGAGTATCAAGACAAGTCTTTCAGAAGGCATGTTAAAACTGTGGATTTGGGACAGCTGAGCACTGTCTCTGTGGAGGTGAGAGGGATCTTTTAAAGCAAGGGTAGAAGTCATTTCTGAATCTCATTCTATGATAATTCCACTGCCACAAACCAATTGCCTGCTCTTTTCCTCTCTTTGGACAGGGGTTTCCTTTGGGCTTGGCCCAAGGGGAGGTGATAAAATGCTGCACGGGCAAAATGTTTACTTTTGTATGAGAGGAGACTGGTTGATAGCTGACTACCTTTCCCCTTCCCCTGCTAAGATGGAAGGAGAATAGCATATCCCAGGAGGCCTTCCAATTTTGTTTCCATATGGCTCAATCACCTCCGTCTACCCCTGTGGTACCCCATATCACATCATAAAGTCAATAAAGAAGGGTCACATTTTTGAGCTATAACCAGAAGTATTTTCATGGTTGTATCTGTATGGGACACACATGCCTTGCAACTCACACTAAAGTGATTAACAACTAAAATAGGTGTGAATAGTTAAATACAAGTGGGAGAAAGAGGGCTGCCTGCAACTAGCACCTGGTCTAACTTCTGTCTGAGATCCACAACTGCAGCCCAAGCACATTGACCTAGTTAAAATTGTATTCCATCTGCATGTATACTTATCCCAAAAGGGTGGGTGCCACTCTTTCCCCAGTGAATGGTTTCATGGCAATCTCACAACTATCAGTAGGACCTTCCCTCAGCAGACCATCAGTATGGGACATTTCTTAAACTTGGGAGCAAACTGGTGTTGACCACATTCTTTGAGCAGAGATTTCTTTTCCTGGAACAGATTTTGAAACCTAACTATTGTGAATCTTAAAACACTATTTCTGAGGCACTGTAAAACTTCCCCTCCAGCTAGGTGAAAAATATCTTACAGTTGGATCCTGGCCATCAGGAAAGAAGCATTCCCTTTTATTGTGCATTTGGGAAAAAAAAAAAAAAAGCAAGTGATTACTCCGTTTAAAGAAAAAATAAAAGCAAAGGCAAATCAAATACTGAAGCTTGTAGCATTCAAAAAGCAATCCAAGAAAACTCTTACTCCCTCACTTTAATGGGAAGTAAAGCCGTGCTATAGGATAGAAAAGAATTAGTGTATTACGAGTGACCTGTGATGTTTTGCAGTATATATACATATTGCTGGTACCTGTGTGCCAAACTCCTTAAGCCATTGTTTTTGCTAATCTGGATGACAGGCTGTATGTGAAAGTAACCTCACTATTGGCCAGTGCCCATACATATCTAAGAGTCACCCTCTTCACCCCCCTGCTTTGTCTATCTGTCTGTCTTCTTCTTTCTTCACTCCTTTTCATTTTTTTTCCCAGCAGGAGGTCAAACCAACCTGTAGGGACAACAGACTCACTGTCTGAACAAGAAAGGTGACCGGAATCTCAGGTAATGGGATGATGCTGTTCACGATTTGATGGGATGTGGCCTTGGCAAAATGGCCACATGTGGGATTGCCTCCTCAGTCCCTCTCTTTCTGGGGACCTGTGTCAACTATATGAACACTCACACACAAACTATCAATCGTTTAGATTACCCTTCTGCATTTCTCTGAACCCTATGAAAAATATAGAACGTGTCATGATAAAACAATCTGTCATCTAAAAATTCATTCTTATTATACACTATACAAGCTATTTTACAATCACTTGAATAAATTGCATGTAAAGCTGCAGTAGCCCTTCCCTTCCTGGATTAGTGAATACCAATATGATATATATTTATATATATGTATATCTGAAAGTAGAACTAAATATAAAAATATATTAGAAGTTTCATATTTTTAATATTAGATTTTTTTTCAGTTTCTATTACACAAATAATTTGGCCACTGAATAAAAATAAATTCTTGTTGTGGCTCAGTAAATAGGTTAAGTTTTGAGCTTATAGAAAGTCGGTAAGGTGCACACAGAAAGGGCTACTACAGCTTCTAAATCTTCTAAAATGATCACTCATAGTGAGGAGGAGAGATTCACAAGACCCCTGTCAAGTTTATGGCACATGAGAAAGTGGAGAGGAAGGGATGTGTAAGCCTCACAAACACAAAAGTCTGACAACATGATCGGCCATCACAAAAAATCATAGCTGAGCATCTCCTGTGCCCCAGGAGACAGGAACTAATTGGTGTGAGATGGGAATGTGAAAATGGGTGTCGAGCCAGTTCGTTTTCTTGGTTTGATTTTGTGGTTCAGCAAATTAAGCCTTTTAAAAACCAGATAAGGCTGGCTTCTTACTTGAGTAAAATTTAGGAAGGGGCTGTACTGGTTTTAAGAACAGAAACAAAATGTCCAGGTATGACTGAAAAACTTCTCTGGGCTGTTCTAAAACTGTGAAGATCAATATTCTTTTAGAAAGGGGTGCCTGAACGAGATTGCTTACTTCCTTGCCATCTTTCTGTGGATTCTTATTCTACAAAGCCCTGATGAGGAGGGAGGCCTGAAGAATGTCACAGCTGGCAGGAATTAGAACTCATGCATTCAGAATCTTGCTCCTTGTTTTTCACTCTACCCTAACTGTGTGATTAGGTCATTTCTAGGAGTTATTCTCTAGTTACCATAGCTTATCCATAGCTTATTGAGAAGGCCACCAGACTCGGTGACATGTACCAGTTAGTCACCGGGTGGGACTGTGTCTATTTGCTATGCAGATGTGTAGATATACCTTACAAAGCATTAGGGTGATAATTGGTAAAGACCCGGGAGGTCTGAGAAAATTCTGTTTGTGGTCTCCTGAGAGCAAAAAACTCTCGGGGTAGAAGCACCAACCCATTTTCACACAGAAGAACAATGGTTCGCATTTATTTAGCAAAGCCGTGAACCGGATGCCACCTGAAACAGACAGCTGTACAACAGGCAACTCGAATACAAAAATGATGTAAGAAAAATGGGCAGGCCTAGTTCACTGGATATAAAGGTAAAGGAAATTGCTAAAACCAGACAGTTATAGCTATAAAAGGCACAACTTCCCTTTTCTGGCATACATTTGTAAACTTTTTTGGGTTACCATGCATAAATCAAAAGGCTATCTTAACTATACAGGGAGAGAAGGGAAGAAAAAAAAAAAAGAAAAAAGAAAAACATGACCAAAAAAAGTCCCAGAAAACACTTATCCAACCAACTGTGGAAAATCACTAGTAGAATGTTCATGATGCAGATTCCTGGCAGCGGGAGTTGGGGTGCCATTTTCTATCCACTGAGAAGTTCCTTCCCAGGATGACGTGTCTGATTTCCAGGATGTCCAAAATGACTTATTTCACTTCCTTTCTCCCTACTGCTCCTGTTGCTTCAAAGCAACTGTGTTCATGTCCAAGTCTTGGCCCTCTAGAAACCACATGTAGTGCATAATTGCAGAAGAAACGCCACCACGAGGACAGAAGTGAACCAGTCTGTAAGTCTGTATGATGAAAGCTATAAATCTGACTTTTCTTTAAGGCAACCTTTTGTATTAAGGCAGTCACTTCTGATGAAAGAGGAGTTTTTTGATATTTCCATTTGAGTATTTTGGTATCTGATTGCTGATGATTTCAGCCAACATCTCCGGGAACTCGATGCTCATGGTCTTATCCAAAAATGTTTGGAAGCAATAGTTCAGAAGGTTTTCAACTATCTAAAAGGAGAAGAGAACGAGTCAGGTAAAAATGATGTCCAAAGGATAGGCTGGTGCTTGCAGAACTGTAATGTAGTTGCAAGCAACAATCCTTCTTCCTTGTTCATTACAGCCCTGCCCTGACTCCCCAAAGGGGAAAAGTGGAAGAACTTAGCAAACAATTACACATGGTATATTCTAAGTTGTCTTAGACCATTCAGCTGGATGGACTGCCAGTGGATAGGAGAGTCTATAGAATATGAGAATGGAAAACATAGTGCCAGCTGTTTCCATTTCTGCAGGAATAATTGTTGTTGACTCATTTCATAGGACTCCCTGTCATGAATTTTATTACATCTCAGCCAAATGGGACTACTAATTGTTTCTTGAACCTAGTATTCTACTTTCCACCTTTGTGCATGTGCACAAATTGGCCTCCATTGAATGTCCTTCCTCATCCACATCCTCTCAGAATACTTTTCTTCCTTCAAACCTCAGCTCAAGTATTACCTATTTCACAAAGCCTCCCCTGACCCCCCTAGTTTCTGGTGCTCCCTCCTGCCTCAAATCCTGTATTTTATTTGGTAACTGTTAAAAAAAACCCCAAACAACTATTTGTATACATGTTGTATCTCTTCCAGAAGAATGTCAACTCTTGAGGACAAGGATGCTTTTGTGTATGTCATTTTGTTGCTGGTGATGTGCACATAGTAGGAGCTTAATATGTGCTGAAATGAAATGGGTAGCCTGAGTTGGGAGTTCAACTCTTGCTTTTGCTTCATGACATTCCTGGGTGTTACCTGGTAGTATATGCCACTTCCAATATACTGACCATTCTAAATATATGGGTTTCAAAAAGCAAGACCTAAGACCCCTAAACAGTGTGATGATTGAAGTTTGAGAAACTCACCTCATGCATGGAGTCCAGAAGTTTAGTCAGCTGATAAAATCGCTGCCAGTTCTGACTTGAGTTTCCTTCCCTCTTGACTATGGCTTTCCCCAGCTCTTTGATGTAAGTCATTCTAATCTCATCAAAGAGTGACTGGCTCTTCAAACCTTCCTTGGGAACTGAAAAAGGAAAAAAAAAAGGAATCTGACTCTTGATGGTGGAGATTAGGATGTATTATAAATTCTTTCACATGGTGGTGTGATGGCTGGAGAGTGAAATACTCCAGAACAACACTTCTACCCTGACCATAAGTATGATGTTTGCAGCAAGTTGAGATTGTCCTATACAGTGCTACCATATGCTTTTGTTAAGATAGAGTCAGTTGGGAAGGTCTATGAAGCCATACTGGAAGCTAACTATATGACAGAACTGTGATACGCAATGGAAGTAAGAAGTATCCTCAAAATATATGTTGTGAGGAGAGAAAATGAAGTCAGAAACAACTGCCTTCACTTGAAGCCTGTGGCGGTCAGGTTTGGCTCACTGAGGATAAAACAGAAGAGAAATTTTTGGAAATAGTGCTGAAATGGCCAAGTTCAATGATTTGACTCAGTAAAATAAACACAGCCTGAGACAGATAGTTGGATACTCAGTGGTTTAGACTCCTGAGGTTTCTACCTTCTTGTGGAGAAAAAGAATATGTTTAGGAGGTGAGTGTGAATATTCTGTCACTATGTGGCTATGAATTCTATTTACAAATCAAACCAGTACAAACAGTATTTTTTTCTGTGGGTTGGTGTTATCAGTGTCATGGTACTGCCTAAAAGCTGGGATGGTGGAGTAGAAGCTGCCTTGCACTGGAAGTCAGTAGACCCAGGGTTAACTATCTGCCAGTCAACACTGGAGATATGTGGTACAAGAGAAGACAAATCCTTTTGCGATGACGTGTTAGGTGTATATGGTCTTTTCTTGAAATTAGGACCATGAGACTGCTGTATCTTTAGCTAACGCTTGTAGTGCTTTCCCATACTTTTTTGTCTCCTCCACTTTTGGCCTAATACAATCAGTTGCACGTAGCTCCTATACAGACTAAAATGGGTACCAAGTGAGATGACACATCCTGAAGTAAAATGAAATTGATAGTGTCTTTGAGAATAAGGAATGCTAAAGCTCACCTTATTTTTAGCCTGTCTCATCTCGGTGTAGCAGATCTTAAGTGATAATAGCTCACATTTTATAAAGGACTGTACAGCATGACTTAGCAAATGCTTTGGATCCTAATTCTGGTACAGATCTTCATATTGGCTCTGTGACACAGGCAATATAAATGTTCTACCCAATTTCCAAGTAACTGGAGGTCACAGATCCTAATTCTGGTAGAGATCTTCATATTGGCTCTGTGACACAGGCAATATAAATGTTCTACCCAATTTCCAGGTAACTGGTGTGCTGGAGGTCACAGAGTGAGGGAATAGTGGACTTGGGACTTAACCCAGGTCTTCTAAGTCCAAATCCAAGGTTCTTTCTTTGCAATGGATGGTATCACACCTCTTTGTGTGTCTTCTCCCTAATGGACTTGCTCTAGGAGGGCAAGGATTGTTTTGTCTAAACTTTTGTTTTTCATAGTGCTGGGCTGTATCTTATATACTGGTAAGAAATAAGTTGAATGGAATTGTTATTTTCCCTCTAATATTTATTTTACATGAGATTTCTTAATCTATACTGGAATTTGCATTGAAGGGATGTTGTAGTATATACCTTGAAAATAATCTCATCATACTAGAGAGACTCTTAACTCTAGGTACACTGTCTTGTCTGAGGTTAACTCCTTGCAAGTATCTGAAAAAAATCTTTCTCCAGTAGTCTGCACTTAGAACATGGTAAAAAAAAATACTTAACAGGATGCTTCATTTATATTTTTGTGGCTTTAAAACTAGATTTTTGCCTTATTCTTTGGTGTGGGTGATAAATGTCACTGCTAACATATATTATTATATAATTATATAATATATAACTATATTATATATATAGTTATATATACATAATTATATATAACTATATTATATATAATATAGTTATATATATTATATAACTATATAATAGTTATATAATATATATAACTATATATTATTAAATGAGTTTTCTGGAAAGCCCTTCGTTTTAATTTAGACAAAGAGAACATGAGGATTGGTTGCTGTGTTTTGGCAAATATTTCTATTGGGTCATGCAGACCACTTGTGGAAATTCTCATTTTGATGGGCTGGGGTGGGGAATCTGTGGTCTCGAGCCACATGCGGCCTTCTAAGTCCTCAAGTGCAGCCCTTTGACCGAATCCAAACTTCATAGAACAAATCCCCTTAATAATAAAAGGATTTGTTGTGTAAAAAAAAAAAATTTGGACTTAGTCAAAATGCTATACCAGAGGACCTAGAAGGCCACATGTAGCCTTGAGGCCACAGGTTCCTCACCCCTGGGTTAGGTAGTATTCTTATGTAATGACATTCCCAAATCTTCTCTGTGTTGTTCATGAGAAATGGAGGAGTAAATGACTGTCAGAAAGGAGAATCCAACCCTACTTTGGGTGCCCCAGGTTATACAGCCTATAACTTGTTGGTAGCAAGACACAGAAAAGGCGGTGCTTTGTCTAGTCACATATACATTGAATAATGTCTATCCAGGTTCTCCAGCCCCATCAAAGAGGGCTTGGTGTTCTGAGAAGGAAAAGGTGACTTATTTGTTTTGACTGCCTCAGAAGTTCGTTGCTTCACAGTATCTTGCTTAGGGTTGGCAGGAAGAGCTGAGGCTTCTTTATACCAATTCTGGGAATTAAGCTCAATTGCATTAACATGGAGCAGAGAGAGAGTGAGAGAGTGAGAGAGAGAGAGAGAGAGAGAGTGAGTGTGTGTGTGTGTGTGTGTGTGTGTGTGTGTGTGTTTATAAATATGTGGTGGGAGGAGTCTTCCCTCCCCAGTCCTCCTGTTGCCCTTTGTACTTGATGTTATGTAATAGATGCAGCAACAAGTTGACTTTAGGACTATAATGTTTTTCTATCTACGTGATATGCTACAGGCTCAAGACTTCTTTTTCCTTTGTAGAAGGGAACCTGGAAAGTTCAGAAATCCAAAAAATACGACCAATCGCACAGACACGTTGGATGTGTATATTATTTTGTTCAATATTTATCTGGGTGATTAAAGGTCTAAGGCAACTAATATTTGTATAGTCTCTATATAACCCTGAAAATTGTCTTCTTAGGTATGATTGACAACATACTAGTGAAGCATTACAAATGAGGCTATCTCTTTGGGCAGTTTCACATATAGCTGACACTCAATGTAACAATAATTATAATGAGAATACCTAGCATTTAGGTAGCTTTAGTATTTACAAGGCACTTTAAAAATACTATCTCATTTGAGCCTCGAAACACTACTGGAATTTTTACAGATGCAGATAGAAGTTAAGTGACTTGCCCAGGATCACACAGTTAATGTCTGAGGCAGGATTTGAATTCAGGACTTCCTGATTCCAAGTCCAGTGCCTTATCCATTTTACCACCTGGAGGTCTATAATGTCTCTGAATGGAATACAGTCACATGAAACAAATACTTGGTACCAGATAAGTGACTAGCCTACCTGAAGAGAGAAGTAATAAGGTTTTCATGCAGAGATATTCTTCATAAGAAACCTGAAGCCTTTGTAATTCACTGGACACAAGTAGCATATGTTTACATTGGTCATACATGCAGGGTAAATTCATCCTTTGCCTATGAAAGAAAGACAAACATGAAAAATTGCCATTAGAAACAGATAATCAGATAAACCTAACCAAATATAGCCATTTCACTTGACCCATTTCAAACACAGTCGGGATAAATAATTAGATTTTTCACCTGGAGAAACTGTGGCTGGTGTTTCTATATTTGGGGATAGAATTCCCCTTCCTACAAGGTTTTTATAATTCTTTATTTGCCACTTTTATAAAAAGGTTTGTGACATCTCTAACCTATATCCATAATGGATTATCATGACTGCCACCAGATTACTGTTTACTTATTTTTTCTCCCTCCTACTCCAAAACGAACCTCATTAGGTACCCATATCTCATATGCTACCTTTTAATTTACCTTGTGATATTCCTTTAGATCAAGAGTTTTTAACCTGGCGGTCTGTGAGCCTGTTTTCTAAACATTTTGACAACTTCAATTCAATGACTGGTTTCTTTTGTAATCTTATGTACTTCATGCATTTAAAAACATTATCCTGAGAAGTTCACAGATTCCACAAAGCTGCCAAAAGCATCCATAGCACAAAAAAGGTTAAGAACCCCTGCTCCAGAAAATGTTTCCATACACACCCACACACCCACATGTGTATTCACCTTCTTTTCTTTAACTATTTCAACCTTTTAGAGTTGCTATTAGACCGGTCTTACACTGTAACTCATCCAATTAGTAGCAACTCATGGCAAATATGTGACAACTGGATCAGAGGAAAGACTAGCTAAGTTTATTTAGCTTCACTGCAGAGCCCTTGCAGGGTTTATACTTGGGACACTGGTTCAATGTTCATGTTGACTTTTGGTTTCTGTACAAAGTACTGAAACTAATCTTCTTACTCTTTTAATGTGATCTGTCTGCATATATTCACTGAACAGGGAAGACAGTCAAACAGAAGCTTCCTACTCTTAGGGATCTCTTCATAAACACGAGCTTGGTCCCTCTGGTGGATCTTGAGAACTTTTTAAATATCTCCAATTGTTGTATTTACTTAGAAAACAATGACCAATTAATAGACATGCACTTTGCTGTTGAACCCATTACTTTCTGTCTTTTAAATGGAATTCTAGCACAAGAAATGCTTTGTTATAAAAAAAAAGCATTCAAATATGCTAACTATAACTTGGTTATAAGTACTAGCAAGCTACAATGGAACCAAGAATTTCTAATCTCTAATTACAGCACACATACTATAACTGATGAAAACAGCTACCTCCCACATGATATCTCGACAATAATAACTTACCAGTTATGTTTAAATACTATGAAATTATAATCTTATAGATTTTTTGGATGCATAGGCATGTTCTGAAGGACTTAATATTTCCAAATACAGATGAATAGAAAATAATGATGTAGTATCTTATTTCTTGGCTCCATTTAAAGTGCTAACGTTTCTGCACTAGTAAACCAACCTGCTCATGTCAATAAATGTTCTCCTATTCTCTTCCATTTCCAGTGATACTACTACCTTCAGTCTAAATATATAGCTCTGGTTCAAAACTTGACTCCTTCCCTTCTCCCATTCCTCCCAAGTCAAAATTGCCAAATATGATCAATTCTATCTCTATAATATTCCTTACAACTTTTCTCCTAGTTTAGGTCTCATCACTGTAACAATTGTAAAAGTCTCTTATTTCTTCCTACTGCCAAAGTAACCAATGGAGGCAGTGTGATATGGTGAAAAGAACACTATGCCCAGAATCAGAAGATGCAGGTTTGAGTTCTAACTCTGCTACTTACTACCTGTGTCTTCTCTGACAAGTCACTTATTTCTCTAGGTCTTGGTTTACTCACATGCAAGATGAAAGGACTGGACTACATCATCTCTGAGTCCTGAGTACTATGATACTGTGACTAAATCAACATAAAACAAAGCCAGTGGTTACAAGATTTAGAGTTGGAAGGACCAGAAATTTCTGTGTTTAGTTCAAGTCCCTCTCTTCTCTCTATACTGTCTTGGTGACCTCATTAACTCCCATGGATTTAAATAATTATAATCTAGGCAGAAGACTGAAAGATATATCTACATATACACACACCCATATACGATATATACAGATAAACACACACACACACACACACACACACATACATATATATACCTTTAGCCCTAGGTTCTCTCCAGTATTATATCAACAAATGCCTATTAAAATAGTTCAACCTGGATACTCCAGAGACATCTAAAAATCAGTATATACAAAACAGAAGCACTTCATCAAACTTCCCTACCAGGCTTTCAGTCTCTCAAATTTATACTTCAACATTTTCTTTGATTTGATACTATCCTTCACCTCATATATCCAAATAGTTGTACATCTTGTGTTTTCTAATTTTATAATTAACTCTTATATGTTACTCCTATTTGATGTGAATAGTTGAATTTTTTTAAAGGTATATTAGCTGGACCATTAAAATTTGAACAGTTCATCCTCCTCGTCATCTGTCCCTCACCTTCCCCTCTGTCATTTTGGTAAGAAGTTCACTTTAAAATAAAAGCAGTTTTTTCTAAAGCCATTCTTATGGTGGTCACCAGGCATTTAGACAAAAAGCCACATATGTCTAAGAGTGCTGATGGTGTCAAATGTATGTGTGGTCAAGCTGCCCAAAAGACTAAAATCATGAGTACAGAAATACTGTACATGAGTTTATCCATGGGTAGTCTAATCTCTCTTTTTTTTTTTCTTAAGGAACATACAAAATTTCACCATATTTATTGATTATAAAGAAGCATTTGATTTTGTACAGTGCAACACCATCTTATGTATTCTTCCAATAAGTTGTCTCCTTTTCAAAATCACACAAAATCTCTTAAAGATATTACAACAGAGACAATCTGGTTCAATGACCTTATCATTATTAATATATTTTTACATATGAAATAATTTCTTTTAAAAAATTTTGCTGATTTTTTTGTTTTTACTTTATAGAATACCTGCACTCTGTAACAGCTCTCTTGTAACAAAGTAAAATAATTAAGCAAAAGTGACAATACAGTGACCTTAAAGTGTATGCAATATTCCAAAACTGTAATACAACCATCTATTAAAAATGTTTTTTAATGAACAGAAGTTCATTTTCTTTCCTTCTCACCCCAACCTCACTAAAAAAAAAAAAAGAAAAAGAAAAACAAATTCCTTGGAAAAATAACCAAAGGTAGGCAAAACAAATTCCCTCAATGTCTGTATACAAAAACATATATATATATATATATATATATACACACATACATATATATACATATATATCAAATTTGCCCCAAGGACTGCTCTGGCTCTATACCAAAAATTATGATATGCTGTCTCATTGGTGTCATTGTTTTTAATGAAATTATCTACGGTTTCTATGATTTATTTTTGATTCACAAATTCTTTAGCATTAAGTTATTTAATCTCAAGTTGTTTTTCATCCTTTTTAAAGTAACTCTTTATTTAATATAATTTTAATTGCATTATGGTCTATCAAGGATACACACATATATCTGCTTTTCTGCATTTGTTCACAAGGTTTTTATGATTAATTTTATAAAGATGCCATGTGCAGCAATAGTAACCACAGTTCTGTCACATTAAATTTTTCTAAATTTCTATCTAGGTTATGTTCTTTGTTTATTTTTTATTACATTTATATAGGGCTGCTAGGGATAAATAAGGTCTCCTCTTGCTATTAAGTTTTTATTGTCTATTTCTTTTTGTAATTCATTTAGTTTTCCCCTTAAGTATTCAGGAGTTATGTTATTCAGTGTATGTATGTTAAGTGTTGAGATAGTTTTATTTTCTGTTAGTTTTCAGCAAAATGTAGTTTCTCTCTCTATAGTTTGAATTATCTGTTTTTGCTATTGTCTTGTATGAAATCATAATTGCTATAATTGCCTTTTTTTGAAAACAAAAAATTGGCTAAGGCATAATAGATTTTGCTCCAACCCCTTATTTTAACTGTGTTTCCTGTAAATAACAAATTGTTGGGTTTGATTAACCTCTTCCATTTTATGGGTGAGTTCATTCCATTAATATTCATAGTTTTGTGCTTTTTTTTGGTTGGGCAATGGAAGTTAAGTGACTTGCCCAGGGTCACACAGCTAGTAAGCGTTAAGTGTTTGAAACTGGCTTTGAACTCAGGTCCTCCTGACTCCAAGGCCAGAGCTCTTTTTATTGTGCCATGTAGCTGTCCCCATATCCACAGTTTTGATAGTTAATTGTTTATTTCCCTCCATTCTATTCTTCCATTTTTTTTTCTTCTTGATTCTACTGGTTCCCTATTTATTTCAAGTTGTTTGTTGCCTTCCTCTTTTTTCTTCCCCTTTTAAACTTCTCTTCATCTTCTTTCCAAGCTTAAGATTTATTCCTTTCCTGAATCTATCCTTTTTCTTATACTCCTGCTTTCCCTCTTAGTTTTCCTATTTGTATACTTGTTGATTTGAATGTATTTCTATACAAAACTCTGTGTAGATGTTCCAATCATTTTTCATTAGTTTAAATGAAAGTAAAGTTCAAGTGACACTTGCTTTCTCCACTTCTTCTATGTTTACATATAATTCTACGTGTACAACCTGATTACATATGTTAATAAGTCCACCCCCATTTTTTTCTTCTCATTTTCCTTTAACGTATTTTTCTCTCTCCCCTTTATTTTTTCTTATAGCATTTTCAAAACATAACAAAACTATTTATAGGTGTTCTATCTCAAGTAACTACCTCTATGACCCTCTGTTACATTAGGATTTTGAAAGAACACTTTCACCACCTCTCCATTTCCATTAGAATGTAAACAGTTCATCCAGATTGTTCACTTGCATTTGCCTTTTTATCTTTCTCTTGATATTTGCATTTCAGAGTTCCTTTTCAACTTTCAGTGTTTTTCTTCTTCTTTACTATCAGGAATGACTGAAAGTCTTCTTTATCATTGAGGATCCATTTTTTTTCTCCTTGTAGTATTATACTTTATTTTGCTGGGTGAATTATTCTTGAACACAGATCTTTATCTTTCAC